TTACCTCTTATCTAGGTGGCTGCAATCATCCCCTAGTTTCCAGACATCCACCTTGGTCCCCTCCAGTCAGTACTCCATAAGGAGCCCTTCAGCTATTCCTAGTCTACTCCTACTCATCTTTCAGATCTCAGCTCAAATGCTGCTTCCTCAAGGGAAACACCCCGTGACCTCTCTGAATAGGCTATTAACTCCTTTCTGGCACTAGTCAGAGTTGCAGTTTTACATCTGGCCTCCACAAGACTCTAAACTCTGTCTTTTTTTGCTACTACTACATTCGCAAGGCCATGCTGTGTCTTACACATGTTCAACACCCACATCTAATATTTACCAAAGGAACGTCATTTGTTCATTCTGTTAAGCTCATCATCACAACCATCTTCTGGGCCACTGGTGCGTCCTGCATGAACAACCGTGTTGTTACGTCTGTCTTGACCCTGTCCTCCAGTATGTTCTCTACACTGCAGCCAGAATTGTCCTTTTAACAAGCAAATTCAACCACTTGTAATCTTTCATTGCTCCCAATGCAATTCAAATTCATTAAAGTGGCCACTAACATGTAAACTGCTAGTTACCTATCCAAAGACTGCTGTCCTCTTGTTCCTTAGTAACAGAGCCCTAATTTTATCAGGATGGCAGTGTGCCCTACTAAAGGGCTATCCCAGCCTTCCCAGTAACCAGACTGCTTCTGAAAGGCTTGAAAGGTAGAACAGCAATCAGGTGCATTGGTGATTCAGTGACCTAAAAGGGTTATTGTCTTTCCAAAGGCCAGAATTTCCTTTCTAGACAGTGCCGTGTCCCTATATCTATAAAATGTCCATAAATAAAACATTTCTCATATTAGCAAGTGCTGGCCAATGAGATGAAAGTGGTTAGAACTTCCAAAAATGCTTCTTGACGTGGGGATAGACAGCTGGGTGTGCTTTGCCCCGCCTCAATTTCTTCTGCTTTCTGCCAGTTTCAAGGACACGATGGTGGGGGTTTCAACAGCCATCTTAGACATGAAATATCAATGAGAATTCGAGCCACATGCCCGGGATGGCTGACAAAAGAGCCAAACAGGACCCTGATCCCAGGAGGGAGTGGCCATACAGCCCTGTACTTTGGGCTTCTTTAAGATGAGGACATAAATCTATATCTTAAGGTACTGATATTTTTCTTGCAGTCAAACTGAAACTTGATACAGGCTCTAAGCATTTTATGACCTGACCATTGTCAATCTTACCTCTCCCTTCACTTCCTCAAGTTCAACAGTTCAGCCAAGCTGAATATTTTTCAGCTCCTCACAGCTTTTCTCTCCATTTAAAATTTTCCCAAGTTGCTCTTTCTGCCTAGAATACAGCCCCCACCTAGCTAACTCCTACCTATCCTTTGGATTTCAGCTTCAAAATCAGTTCTTCAACAAACCATACTAGCCAGGTTAAGATGCCCATTTTCTGATAGCAGGGTAGCTCCTTGTCATGCTACTTACTGCACTGAGAATTGTGGTATTTCATCTCCTCCTGCAGAGACAATAAATTCCATGAAGGCAGGAATACAGCCTGTCTTATTCAAAACAGTATCCCCAATAACCAGCACAGGTATGCAATAAATATTTCTAGAATAAATGGAGCAAATGCGTCAGGGGGATATGGTGTTGGCTACAGAACTAAACAGACACAGTGGGTATGATATCTTTGCAACGTGAAAAATGAAGTGGAATGGTTGGCATATTATCATTTATTATTTATACCGTGCCCTATTCCAAAAAAAGGACATAAGGAAGCAGGATGGTTGGAGTACCACCTTACTTGAGTGCTAAAGAGTTCATGTCTGTTTAGAGACATTGGTATAGGAGATTGTTAGAAGATGGCAAGGGTAGTTTGGGGGAAAAGGGGTGCTAAGAAAAGCAGTGGCATCTTGTCCTACCTCATCTCCATCTCCTTGCTTGCAAGCTCTACCTCAGGAGCTCTACTAGTGGGAGGGTTGCAGCAGGAAGAGGTTAGCAATAAAATAGGAGAGGGTTCACTCCCAGGGAGGCACACCACCCACCTTTCTTTCCTCCCTCTGGTGCCCAACTACAAGTAGAGTCTGGTCTTCCCCAAAGAGCTCTGGCTGGGCCTAAGTTTCATGTGGAGAATAGCCAGCTCTGTCAGTCCATAGGTCGGGGCCCACTGCTAGCTACAGGCTCCAGGCTCTGCCCCTCCCTCACCCCCATCCTCCTCGTCAGACTGTGCCAAGGGCGTGTCTGCTCCACTGTCACTGGGATTTGGGCTGTGCAGGTTGGTAGAGGAGTCAGAAGATGAGGAGGAGGTGCGGGATGTGGTCCTGTCTGGCGTGTGCATCGGCAGGCTCAGCTCCTCCAGATGGTCGTCTACCCCTGCCCAGAGAGAAGAGCTGGTCAGGGCTTCAGAGGACTCTCAGGATAATCTGGTCAGGACAGAATGAAACCCAGACAGGGGTAGGGACTTGTCCAAAGTCACTTAGCCAGTCCAGCAAAAAGCCAGTTCTTCTGACTCCCAGCTCCTTCTACTTCTGGGATCACATCTGGGTTTTAGAGTCGAGTCAATCAATTCAAGATTTCAAGTTTTACTTATGTCACTAATTTACTTATTGGCTTTGGGTAAGTCACTTTTACTCGAAAGGACTCTGCTCCCTCTCTGTAAAAAAAGGGATTTCTACATTCCAGAAGAGTTTTGAGGATGAAATATAATAATGTTTATAAAATGTCTGGCACATAGTAGTAGGCTATCGATTAATAGCAGCAGTTTTAAGTAAGAGAATATCTATCTTATAAGTTAAGTATATGGGCTTTGGAGTCAGAAAGCCATGGTCTGAACCCAGGTTTTCTACTTTTTGGCTATGTAACAACTTCTCTGAGTCTAATATTCTTCTTTATAAAATGGAGATACTACCTACCCTAATAGGACATTTGTAAGGATTGAGGTAATATATGTAAAGTACTTTAGTACAGTATTAGAAACTTTATAAAGTGCTCAGCAAATACTATATTATTAAGATGACTAAAATTGCTTAAGTTCTCTAATGTAAAAATTACATTTGTATATAATTTTAATTACATTAATTTTATAAATGTAAAATTAATTAGGCTACAGGGGAGTGGGGATTGGGCATTCCTAGAATTTTGGATTGGGCATCCATAGCCAAGTTGTCCTCAGGGTCAACTTCCCTAAAATCAGACAGCTGTTTCATTGGTAGAAACGCCCACTTCCAGCCCCTGTGGGTTTACTTCCCCAGTCTTGCAGCCACACTTCAGAACCCCAACATCCGGCTCCAGCTAACTGGTGCCCAAGTCTCAGCGCATTAGCATACCAGACGTCTGGGGGGTTGGCGGTGGGTCTTCGCAAGGCAAGAACACATCTGCTCCGTCTTGATCCCCAAGATCAATAAATTCCACTTGCTCCAGCGTGTCCACATTCACTTCCATGGATGATATACTACCTATGGGGGCTGTAGATCAAGAAGGGGGCAAGTCAGGAGGATACAGACTGAAGCAGATAGGATGATCAGAGATATCTGTCAGGTCTAGAAATAGAAGTTTAGAGGGCCAAGAAAACAAGATTCTGGATCTACAAGGCTTTCTCCCTATCCCAGTCCCTCTCCCCAGGACTTAGAACTTACGTCTCTGTGCCTCGAGATGCAGGTGGGACAGTGGGAAGACAAACTCTGTCTCTGGCTGCAAAATGTCCTCAAAGAATTTCTGCCGCTCCCGCAGGCGGAGCTGCTGGCGCTCCAGGGATGCTCGAGGATTTGGGTCCATGTCAGCTCCTGGAGGGTGGAAGATGAAGCTGTGAAACTGAGAGGCAATGCAGTGGGGGACTGAGCTTGGAGAGCCCCACTGCAGCCAGCATCCCAGCAGTGAGGCCTCTGGTTCCAGCCCGGACACCTCTGGACTTGGCTTCCTCCTTTCCCTTCCCTAAAACAAAGTCTATTACCACAAACTTCAAGTCTCATACGGAGGCGGGGCTGAACCTAGCTCCACAAAGGGGATGCCAGTTCCAGGCACGGCAAGAGAGGCTCCTCTGTGTTCAGGGGACAGACAGAGCCAATGGCCAAGTCTCAGAATCATGCCCATCTGAGAGGGGTTGGAGAAACTGCTCCAGCCCAAACAGAGGAGGCATTTGTCACTTAATGGACCTGCCTCTCCTCAGAGGCCATCTCAGGGTGGAAGGTCCTCTTCCTCTAGTGCTCTGGTTCCTGCCCATTCCTCAAAATCCAGACAAAAGCTGAAGTACCCCCTCCCCTCCTCTCTCTCTCTACATTCACATACCCCATTCACCTTCACCTCCATCCCCTCCCAACCCTGCTCTGAAGTCACCGACCTTACTTCCAGACTTGGCTCTTTGCCTAAGAAAATCATCTTTCTAGCCTCAGTCCCCCCATCTGAAAATGGCATAATCATCCTACCTGCCTCAAACACAAGTCACTGCTTATGCGGGCGCTCTGTCTCTTCTCAGCACTCCCACAGCTCTTTATTTGCGCTGATGTCTGCTCTAACATACATGTTCTCTGACACATCTCACTGTCTTATCCTCCCCTAGTCAGTGGGTCCAATTCAGACCAGGCCCCCAGTGCTAAGAGCTTTCCAGAACATCAAGCTCTGGGCCAGGCCAGGCCCTGGGCATTCACTCACATTCGCTCAGTCTCCTTCCAGGCATTCGGCTCAGAGCCCATCACCGGAGGCAAGGGAGAAGTATCTAACCTGAGGGCCAGATCAGCCTCCTCCGCAGACTGCTTTCCCCGCCTCATCTGTGCTCAGTGTATTCAAGACCCTGGTCAGCTCCACAGGCGCTCGGGCAGCGGCGAGGGACCCAAACCCAGTGGACCAGGCAGGGCCAAGGAAGTGTGGGGGGACCCTGTGGCCGCCGGCTGGCCATGGAGGAGCAAGGCGCTGACGCCGATTCCTGGGAAAGGCTCAGATCTGCGGCCCAGGTCACAACGCTAAAAATACCCGGGCCCCTGAGGCAGACAGCTTCAGCGGCGGGTGGGGGAGGGCCACGAGAGCGCAGGGGAGTGACGGCGACCAGGGGCTCTGGGACAGCCCCTCTTTTCCCCCTCCCCCAACCCCATCAACCTCAAGAGACCGACGGAGCTGCCCCCCGGGGGGGTCTACAGAGCCGAGTGAGGGAGAGAAGGGAGTTGTTTATGCGACTAGAGGTGCTGGGGACAGGGGTGAAAAGATTTGGGGGCAGGAGCCTGCCAGGGGACCAGTGAAATGGAGAGCGCCCTCCTGGTCTCTGCCCCACCCGCAGTGTAGTCAGAGAGAGCGAAAGAATGCCCTAAAAAGGGACGCGCCGTGTCCGCGGG